CAAAAAAACTCGGTAGCCGAATGACTTCCCCGATTCGCCAAGAGAATGAAAGAAAGCTGTATTTCTGCTCAACAGAAAAACATTTTGAAAAACAAAAAATATGCTCTCTGTTTTAAAACACATTTCTATGGTCTATTCTGAACGCTGATTCTGAAAATCACTATCGCGGTTTTCAAGAATTAAATGTGACAAAGATATGCTCATTTATCTGAAACCTAGCGATATTTCGAAAAGGAGCCCCTCACAGTATTTTCAATTTTTCTCTATGAAGACGTGCACTAAAAAGAATCGGAAGGTGATATTCGTGATCAGCGTAAAATTCTCTATACGACCATGTATAAACAAAACAAAAATAAAGTTTTACTTAAGATTCGAATTTCGTGTACCTTATTTATATTTGTGCAATCATTTAGCTGCTTAGGCTGAGTTTGTTTTCAATAATGTCGATGAAATACTTAATATTCTTCGCATCCTTATCAATAGCAAATGCAGCAGTTATATCGATGTCCCTATTTGGTGGAAATTATGGTGATCCTCATTATACAACATTAGATGGCAATTCGTATACATTTAATGGTTATGGTGAATATACATATTTAGCCATATCTGATGAAAGAGTTAAACAAAGATCGGCTAATTTTAATCCAAATCAATCGTATAAGTTTATGTCTCAAATTAGAACAATACCATTACAAAATACAACAACATCAGCAAGTAAAGTGACAGTTACAAGTGGATTTGCTGCCAGATCAAACGTTGCCGATGCTCAACCCATTAGCGTTACTGTATCACGACATAAATCATTGGTTATTTGTCGCGGCAATGAAATATTAAAATTTATTTCAGCATCATCAAATTCAAATAACGTAACTCTTGTCTTTCACGATGTAATAATTGAAAAAAATTTAACAAACGAAATTACTACTTTGTCATGGCCAATTGGTGTTATCATTCAAATTACTCCTGTTAAAATCACAAAACCAATATTGGGTATTGTTTTAAATGTGATAGTATCACTTTCAAAAATCTATAAAGGGCAAACATATGGACTAATGGGCAATTACGATGATAATGCAACAAATGATCTTCAAAATAGCAAAGGTGAATTTATTAAGCCAAGTGATACTGTAGAACACATTCACAAACGATTTGGCATAACATGGTCAATTGATCCGCTGAAATCTTTATTCTATTATGAAGCCGGTACAGAATCAGCAACATTTTATCATGAACAAAATCAAATATTTCAACCAATGTTTAACGACCCCAGGCCTATTAGACGACAATTAGATACAGCTATATTTGATGCATGTCATATTTCAACAAATGCATCAGGAAATTTATCATCATGGAGCGTAGCACAACGAATGTGCTACTATGATATATCAGTAACGAATGATTTTCAATTCGGTCAGAGCTCATTAGCAGCCGGTGAAGAATTACGTCAAAAACAACAACACTCGGCATCTAATAGATTTGAACCAATAATATATATGATGGCTATCATTCTAGGACGACTTTTTATATAAGACAAATATTATTATTAATCTTTCTTTATTCGTTTACTCAATAAACTTGTAATAGAAAATTGTAATAGAACAACAAGTATTTTTAGGGTATGTCCGACAGTGTTTTTTAGTGATCCTGCTATTCATAGTTTGTACAGATGCATCGGATGAAATTGTTTTCAAAGAATTGTTTTCTACAAGAGGAATATAGATTTCCAAAACTTTCGTCAAGAAAAATACAAAAATAGTAACTGAAAGTTGAATAATCTTCAACTCAACTCATCCAACGTATTCATAACATTTAGTTTTGTGCCATCATTATGAATCTTTTTTTATTTAGAATCTTTTGAAAAAATCTGTAGTTTTTAGAATAAGTTTCTCGAAGATCTAATATTTCATGGATGATACCTGTGTATTGATGGACTTACTTCAGCCGTTTTGATTCATCAAAATTCTGATTTAGACACCCTTCAAAAACCCTCATGTATCTGATACACTTTAACATAACACATAAATTTGATTTCTAATTTATCTGTACAAGTACTGTGTTGTAAGTCATAAAAAAAAGAGTAAGTGACAGAAAACATTAACACACACAATGTGTTGTTATAAACTTTATTTAATAGAAGAAATGTTGAAAATATCAGCACAATTATGAGTAGAAGGAGGCGAATCCATTACATCTTGATATAAATTGACTGAGGCCAGAGGACAGCAAGAGAATACATATGGATAAAACTAGCGTAAAGTGGATATGACTACCGTTTGTTCATCTTAAATTTCTCCCTACTCTTATTTTTGCGGATAACTCTTTACTATTTGAATATATGAAGAAGACTTTGCTTTTTGAAACTATAATTAATTAGAAAGTAATAGCAGCTCAAAAATAGTTTCTTTGCTCTTAAAAATTTCGGAGGTTTCTATTAATCAATTATTTTTCGAGGTTCGAGTGTTTCTGAGTTTTTCGATTGTTCGAGACAAAGATTTGGTTGAACAATTCTTTTTTAACATTCTTTATTTTTGTGAGGGTAGTATGCATAACATAGTTATGAACAGGATGAAGGATGTAAATAGAAAGCCGAAATTATTAAAGAAAGTTATGTTTTCGTATTTTCCTGATGGTCGAAGACCTCAAAATGCAGGCGTAAGGAAACGGTAAGAAGATAAAATCGCAGATGATATTGCCAAATTCGGAATCAAGAATTGGCGGAGAGAAACTAAGGATAAGGACAAGTAGCGTCAGATTATCAACAAATACATGCAAATCAAACCCGTACATTCGAATATTCAAAAACTTGCACATGAATATAAAGAACTAGCAAATCGGCTTCGCATCGTCGTTATTATTTATTGAACTATCGTCTTCCTCATGTTGACTTCAATCACTGTCAAAACTACCACCGCTCATATGTTTGCCATCATCATCATTTCTGTAACAAAAAGACAAAGCAAAACATCAAATTGAAGCTGAGTTATACAAAGATAAACCTGACTTTATATGGTTCGAAAATAGGAGTTCTATCTAGCTAGTATAAATTATATTCTTTTACTTTGCTTCGAAATGATCCAGTGGTAACATTCTTGTCCATGTATAAACGTTTTTGTTTCTCATTCGATTTCTATAACTGACTGATGTATTTCTGAAATGATACATAGAAATACATTACCATATGATGATAAGTTCAGTGGAATAAGAAATGGCAATCACGCAACCTACAATTTATTTCCAATAAAAATTGAATTCAGTATTTGATCGACATTATTCATTTTTTACAGAAATGTCAAATAAAATTCAATTATCAAATGAGATTCATTTTCAGGAAGAAGGAATATCAAATTCCTTGACTTATGACGATGGTTTATTGAATTTGTACATTTGACTAACAACACACGTAAGTACGTGCATTCATTTTCTCCACGATGTTTGACACCATAACACAGCTGAAGAGACCCTTGAGCAAGGTCGAAACCGGTCCTGGGTTGCTCCGTTCGTTTTTAAAAAAGTTTTCGAAAAATTCGAACTCTTTTACTCTTTTTGTACGAAAATAAACACTCGAAATCTATCGATCGTCATGTTTAACAGCAAGATTGTCGTTTTTAGTTCAAAAATATTAACATTATCATAATGCTCTAGAAGACCCTCGACGCGTTTCGGAACTTGGCAGGGCCTTCTGAGAGCTGTTTTTCATGTGGAAAAGTCTTAAAATCCGACCTCGCTGAAAATTTTATCATAAATGTGTCTCGGGCTATAGAGTCCATCCTAAAATTTCGTTTTATCATTCCAAACGTCAGTTGATCGATTAGAGAAAATTTAATCTTTATGATCTAATTACTAAAGAGTATTAAAACGTCTAGTTCTGTCCTCATTG